GCTATTCTTGAAGGGGCTGCTCCTGCCCAGCATCATTTGGTTCTTGCAGGTGAGGGGCCCATGGGAGGCGACCAGCGGGGCCTCCCATACAGGATGCAGATGAGCCATCCTTCCCTGTTCCGTAGGATACCTTGTAGGGGTCTACCCACAGGGTGAGATCTCCAGGCAGCAAGAGGGCAGCTGGGGCTGGCTGAGTCCCATCTGGCTGGGCCACCTTGCTGATGACGGGGGTCCATCTTGTGGTTGATTCTGATGTAGCGGTAGCCAGGGCGCTTGGACGCTTCTTGGAAAACCAGTGATGTTTGCAGCGCTCTGTCAGTGCCTCCTGGAGAGCCCTGCTGAACACCTTCAGTCTCCACTCACTCACACAGCCCAGATCCTCAGGAGGCTGAATTAGGGAGGCTACGGGCAGGGCGATCTCTGGGAGCAAGTTTGTTCTCTTCCAGGTCCAGCTGGCCTGGCTCATGGTGTGTGCTGCTCGGGTGCCACAGCCCGGAGCAGCGAGAGGTCTTGGGGGTCCTATTGCTCTGCAGCGTGGCTGGGCTCTTCACTTTTGCCTTTTAAAATGCCTGCATCTTACCCCATCCCACTCCTTTCCCTGCTCTCCAAGATAACTCCTAAATGATAAATGAATTTACATTTATCATTCTCTTACTTTTCTTTATAATTTCACCACCTCTGTGGGGGTTTTTTGTTTGTTTGTTTTTTTCAGAGAGAGGAAGGGAGCGATAGAAACATCAATGATGAGAGAGAGAGAGTCATTGATTGGCTGCCTCCTGCACGGCCCCTACTGGGGATTGAGCCCACAACCTGGGCATGTGCCCTGACCTATTTTGGGGGGGTTTAATCCTCACCCGAGGATATTTTTTTTCCTCCATTGCTTTTCAGAAAGAGTGGAAGGGGAAGAGAGAGAAAAACTTCGATGTGAGAGAGACACATCGATTGGCTGCCTCCCCACTCTCGCGCCAACCAGGGCCAGGGATTGAGCCTGCAACAAGTTAGGTGCCCTTGCTTGGAACTGAACCTGGGACCCTTCAGTCTGTGGGTCAACGCTCTAACCACTGAGCCAAACCAGCTAGGGCTGACCACCCGTTTTTATCTCCAAACAATATATTGCTTAGTTTTGCAAGCTTTATGTAAATTGTTCTATATTTTTCCAAAATTTGCTTTTTCACTGAGCATTTTCATTGCTATAGTTTCCATCTTACAAACTGAGGCCTTATAAGAACTTTAATATCATAACTGGTGGCCCAACATTTGGACTTTTGCAGTTTGAACACTGAGGCTGCTTCCAGAGCATGACTGTAGTCTGCTCTGTAGACTGTAGTCTTTGGACTTGAAAACTGCCTGCAGAATGAACAGTCTCTCTGTGCTGTTTGATTTCTGTTGATAAGTAACTCAAAAGCCTTTGTTCTACCAGCTTGAACTACAACATTAACAAATGCCTAAACTTTGGTTACCCGTTGTTCTTGTATCACAGCCCCACTTGCTGACCACTGAGTCAGCCACTGTTGAAAGTCTAGTTGCCCTCACCAATTGATGAATGATGTAAGTTTATGGTCTTGTTTCTCCTAACAACACATCTCTTTGATGATCAGCTGCTAGCAACTTGTATCTTCAAAAATCTCTGTTCTGCCTAGCCCACGTGGCTCGGCGGTTGAGCATCGGCCTAGGATCCAGGAAACGAGGTTCGATTCCTGGTCCGGGCACATGCCCGGGTTGCGGGCTCAATCCCCTGTGCAGGAGGTAGCTGATTGATGACTCTCTCATTATTGATGTTTCTATTTCTCTCTCGCTCTCCCTCTCCCTTCCTCTCTCTGAAATCAATAAAGATATATTACAACACCTCTCCCAACAAAACTGTTCTCCCCCTCCCACCTCATAGCATGTCTTCAGTTCATACCGAGGGCTATGTTGTCTGATTTGCAAATCGCATATGAATCAAACTCTCTTAATTTCTTCTGGAACTTTTAACAGAATCAACCAAAATGCATTCTACTTTTGATGGACATAGAACTGTTTCCAGTTTTTTGCTAATTACACGCAGTGCTGTTATGAATATTCTTGTGCATGTATCTGATGTGTGTCAGTGAGTTCTCCTGAGGTTTATGTAAGCGCGGTTTGGCTGTGTCAGGGAATGCACATCTTCAACTTTACCAGATAATGCCAAATTGTTTTCCTTCCAAGGTGCAAGGTAATTGCCATCAACCACAATTTGCAATCCCAACTGTAGTGTTTCAATTGTTAGATATCTTCACCAATACTTGATGTTTACTTTTTGTTTTGTTTTGTTTGCAAATCACTTTAAAGCCTCATTGTGCTTTAAAATGTAGCTTAATTGCATTTCTGGAGTGTCTAATGATACTGAACATCATGCTATATGTTTATTGGCCATTTCCATTCCCTCTTTTGAAGTGTCTATTCCAGTCATTTGTCCAATGTTTCTTCTATTGATGTATCTTTTATCATTTGTAGTTCTTGATATGTCCTGGGCATTCATCCTTTGTCAGTTTAACCAGTCCTTTGTTAAGCATGAATATGTCTATGCCTTATCTCTCTAGCTAATTGTTAACTCTGAGGGGTGGTAGAGAGTCCAGAAAATAAATTAGACCAATAAGAATTCTGTAGAATTACAACTTCCTATTTCGTTTACAGCTCTCTTCACATCTAAGTCCTACAATGAAGTCAAGATTTTTCTGTTGCTGACCTGGACGGTTACAAGCTGCGTTCCGTTGTTGTTAATCGTCACCCGAGGATATTTTTTCCATTGAGGGAGGGAGGGAGAGGGAGGGACATCGAAGTGAGAGAGACATCGATCGTCTGTTGCCCGGATCGATCAAACCTGCAACCCAGGTACTGCCCCTGACCTGTAATAGAACCCCCGACGCTTTGGTGCGCCGGCGGAGGCTCTAACCACTGACCCACACCAGCCAGGGCTGTTTTGCTCTATTTTTTTTTTAAGAGCCGATCACAAGACAAAGAATGTTGAGTTGTCAGATTTTGCTACATCCAGATGAGGGCGCGGATGCGCAGCGGTGAACTCTCTGCCCTCTCCTTGGCGACTGGTGCGGGGGAAGTTGTTTCTTTTGCCCCAGCTGTTACTTTGTGATCTCCACTTGCGCCACGTCTCCCCAGCAGCGCGGAAAGCTCACCGAACTGAAGGACAAATTCTGTTGGTTGAAGCCCCTCCAGGCTAGGCACGTAGCCAAGCGCTCAGTTTCTTTACAGATTTACCTATAGCTCCCCAGAAATGCAGGGTCCAGCCGCCGTGCTAGGAATTACAGAAAGGCAGAAATGCGCAACGCACCCAACGTGGTGTTTTAGCTGTAGCCACAAGCCTCCTACCCGTCTTTTCTCCGCTGAAGGAGTCTCTGGGGAACGTGTTTTGGAGTCGGGAAGTGAGACCCGCTAAAAGCTTGAGGCGTCCCTGGGTGCAGTGGGCTGGAGCTTGGGAGGCTTCAGCGGGGTGGCCGTTTGCT